GAAATCTATTGCGAAATWTTCAATCCCGACGAACTTGCGGATAACCCACGTGCAACCGTGTCCAATCGATACGGAAAACTTTTGTGACGCTTTCGCTATATATAGGTATAGTGCGATATACACCCCAAAAAGTGTTTTCCAAAAAAGAAACCCACAGCATCATTTTAAAATCAATAAGAATACAGTTTATACCGTCGCTGCCCGGATTCTGAAACGCGTGGTGGAGGGTATATAGGTCTATTTCAAACCGTAGTCGTCTGCTTTATACTCGTATAATATTATATAATTATCTACAATTCTACATATTGTTATGTAATCATTGTATCCTCCCATCCAAGAGCGAGAGTTCATCTAGGATAAAATAAAGCTAAATATTATTTTCTATTTTTCCCAATTTTTATTACAGCCAAGTTTTCATTATTTTGATTTCATTATCGTTAGTATTGAGTATTGAAATGAATAGATATATTTTATKAATGGTCCCATTATTGGTCTCCTCGTRGTTCTCGACTTAGAAAAATGTAATAGGTAATAGGTGTATATTTGCATTATTTAAGGTGATCCTGAATTCCTGATGAAACATAAACACTATATTATTTATGCATTTTATTAACAAAAATCAAACATCAATGATGTAGTTTATCCCTATATCATACAGAATCATATTAATACTTATGTCATTATTGTTAAATGTTAATTATTATACACGAATTTTTATAGGTACGCTTGACTCTTGAGGTTATAATTTAATAAGTTTGAATAAAACAATGATATTATATATACTAGAATATGTTATAGGGAGAAAAATATTTGGCGCATCTCTTCCCCAAATCAAGAAAAAAAATTAATATGGTGAATGTGCAAAATCACGTGCATTTAAATATTGCTGTAAATAAAACCTCAATATTGTAAAATACTTAAAATATGATACAGACATTCATCTAGATATATGTTCCCACTTATAAATATATAAAAGCTAGGTATTTACTATTTTGTATATTAAACTGTAGAAGTACATTTTATATAGATTGATCAATGAGTTTATACGCTGCTCACAAACTATTTATAAATCCCAAACTATTAAATCATAATAATATAGGAAAGATGTATTCAATTAATTACAGGTGAGAACAAAATTAATGTAACGGTAGTCGTTGTGTCATATACGGTCGTTATTAAATATTATTTAATTTACGTTTCTTTGATATTACAATAAATAATAATATAATGTAGGTAATTGTTTTTAAACCACTAAGCTAATATTATTATGTAAAAACTAAAAAGTAATATATATATGTATGCGTATAGAGACATAGTCTGTCGTTGTTGTTGGATGATATAAAAGAGTAAAGACAACAAAAAAATCAAAAGTAATCGAACAAATTTTTATTTTTCAAAAATAATTTCTGTAAAAAAAAAAAAAACGATAATGAAAATGATAAAACATAATTTTTATAATGGTGCTCGTGTATTATCATCATTGAGTTAGGTATTTAAACATTAAAAATATATTATATACTTATTGTACAATATTATTTTCGTATGGTAATGAATTTAGAAAAAAACACTTACGTTTAACTAAGTTGACTAATGTCTAAATATTTTTTTTAGGTAATTATAAATCAACCGATGTGCTTATATTATACTAGGTATATGGTAAGTAATTATATAATGTATTATAATATTATATTTATGGTTAACAATTTACTATATTATCATACCTAAACTCTAAATATTAATTTATTTTACCTAAAAAAAAAAAAAAAAAAATAGAAAAAAATATACCTACAATGTTATATTATTTGCGATGATGGTAGGTATCATTTACATAGTAAAACATCACAGACTTTTGGTATGAATATAAAATAATAAAAATATTTATGTATCGCAATCGTTTATTTTAACACGTGTGAATAATTTTGTGACTTTGTATTGACTAGTATATTGTATATTATATATGTATATATAAATTATATAATGCAACGCCATCGATGGCAATACACGCGTGTTATTAGACGATTATAATAATAATATTATTATATACAAAGATTACGGACTTGTATTATACTAATAAATTAAGGCTGGTCAAACCCTTTGGCCGACAGGCGTCGGAACTACATTATTAYGTATAATGTATATAATAATAACATAATGTTTTATCTTATTTAAAATAGTACAGAAAACTAAGACTTTTCCATCATCAAAAACCAATGGTACATAATAGGTAATATTATAGTGGGCAGTATAGATACAATCAATTATCAAATAATATTTATAAAATGAATATATTATTATTATACAGTTATTTAAGATTTAGGGTGATGTTAACGTTTTATTTTTCATTTCCTTATAATATTTCACGACCCAATTTTATTTCTTTTGAAATTTAATATCCTCCACCAAAGTAATTTATGCATATATTATAATGTAATAACAATATACATTCAATGGCCTTGGCGCCTTGCATGTTGGTATACTATATAATAATATATTTTATATAATTTACACATATATAACTGTAATATAATTTCACCTTACATTATAATTTACGGCAATAAGTGAGAGTTTTTACTATGTTTCATTGTTACTGCTCACTCAGATCACTGCACTATTTCGACCACTTAATTATACAACAAAACAATAATAATACTACAAAATAATAAAATGTRTTCAACAGTGCGGCCATTATATGAAGAAAAAAAATGATATGTAAAACAATATAATAAAAAATTATTAAAAATAGTAATTATAAAACAAATAAACGATGAATTTATAATCAAAAATCATATTAAATATCGATTTATGCGAAATTCAAATCACTTTAACAGTATTATATCACATATCTTTTTGGAAATTATTAAAATGTAGGTAGGTATATCTACAAGTATGTAGAACTCTTGTGGAGCGTAGCATATAATACGTATCTATTTATATACATATTTTTGGGGGAGGGGGAGTGACTGAAGTCAAAAATATATTATGTGTTATTTGCATCAAACGCCTTCCCAGAAACAGCAGAAACAGAGGCGTAAATCTTTAAGAACAGGAGGGAGACATGCCCTCTCGAATATTTAGGTGGTAATATTATGCGTGTATGAGGTGAGTTCTAGTAGTAAAGGTTATATTCTTAAATTAAAACTAAAATATTGCAAAATGTAATATAATTGGACTTATTATTAACTCATAAAGCTGTAAATAGAYATTTTTTGAATTGCACATAATAATAATTAATAATATCGGGAGGATGGTAAATTTCAAAGTATACTTCCCTTAAAAAGAAAAAAGAAACGATTTGAACGCGTTAATCGGAAAAACAAAATATAACGCTAAAATGAAAATTATTTATTAATTTATTTTTTTATAAACAAATAAAATATTGCTTATCATTAATGAAGGTGGATCTGTGATTTTGAACCTGGCGTTGAAGAACCCTCAACAGCACCATCTTCATAATTACCTATACATAGTATTGTGCCTCTCGTTCATATTTTAATATTGGGTATTATTGTTGTACAATTATTTTACTACAATAATAGTTGTGGTCGATAGTGATCAGTGTTTGAATTGGAGGAGGACGCAGAGAGACTGAGCTATACTCTTCATTTTTCTTCAAATTATAGTGTATCCCTTTATTATATTCATCAAGGAATAGGGTTACCATTAAATTGATTTGCTGAAATGTTCAACTTCGTTTAGAATCCATCTTTATTTTTTTTTTCCAATTCAACCACTGATCGTGATCTATATACAGGGTTAGGTGAACTATATTAGGTCAGACGTTGGGTTTAATATGGCATATGGATCTCACTAATGTAATTTTTATACTATTTTATTTTATTATAATACGGAGTGGGGCCTAAATAAGATTTTTAACGTAATCAATACCAATTATATAGATAAATATCATAATAAGTAATAACTTATGGTTATGATTCTATAGATGGTTGATTATTTTTATTAAATAACACCATCATTATTTCAAAAACTATTAACATTTTTAAAATGATTTCAAGTAGTTTAATAACATTTGGAAAAAATATTATTAATTTTTTAAAAACATTATATTATAATCTTTTACGTTTTTAATTTCTTATTCCAAAGCAATATATTATTATTAAAATCAAAATTTGGATGAAGAGCTTATGAGAAGACTGTAAGTTGTAAGTACCTATAAGTTTTAACTATAAGTTACTCGTCCGAAATTCAATTTTTATGAATTATGATTTATGAAATTATAAATATATATCGTCAAAAAAACTTTATTTTTATATTTTTTAAAATATAATATTTATGTTAAGTCTTAATATTATTAAATGTTAAAATGTTAATAGTTTTTTTTAAATAATAAATGATCTACTTAAAATAATGAAAATTATTGATTCRTTATTGAAACTAAAACATTCTACCAGGTTGGTGGATGGATGGTATAATTATGTAACAATTATTTTAAATTAAAATTTTTGAACGATGTTATTGTAGGTACATTTTATAGCGAATGTTTTATTAGCCACGTGTTTTAAAATATATATTTTCGCGGTCGTGTACAGTAATAATAATAATAATAATAATAATAATAATAACAAAAATAAACCGTTATACCTTATGCATCCTATGTACAACATAATTCACCATATTCACCTCCTTTTTTCTTCAATAATGCAGTTATCCAAAATCTAATTTTTGGAAGTTTTAAATTTATGTGCTTATAAATATCTTACTTTCAAATTCTTGTGATGTACATTTTTAAAAGTGTCCTATAGTGATACAAACTTTGGTTTTTAAAATGAAAATCCTCCTTTTTTTACTCTAATTTATTTAGTGGATAATTATGTTTTACGAGTACAGAATATAATATATGTACCTACTATACCTTTATCATAATATAGTTTCTCAGTTATTACTTATTAAAATGTTTATACTAAGGATAATAAATTATTTTCCTCAGTAAAAATAGTTTTACAAATATAAAGCAGATTTAGTGTTGGATCTAGTATTTTTTTTATATTTGTACCATTGTACCTTCTCTATAAATTATTATTGTTGATAGATTAATACGATTAAAAATGTAATTTCACAATGCCAACCATAATTTCCATATAATTTATCACGAACCTATTATTCCTAGTTGGTACTTGGTAAACAATTACACAAAGTTAAATGATTCAAAAACTTTATTCAWTAGAAATGTAATTCTGATWCGTCAATATTGTCAGAAAAATTAAATACTAAATTATTTGCAGTATTAAAAGGGGGCTTGTCCCTGTTTGTGAAGCAGGAGTTTGTACATTTMAAGGACATTTTTTAAGTACTACATAAAACCTGAACAATTATTAGAATATTTGAGGATAATATTTTTACGTATATTAAAACATTCCAAAAATCAGATTTCAGATAACCACATTATTGAAGTAAAAAGGGAGGGAGCATACTTGGTGAACCATCTTGCAGTATGTTAAATATAAAATATTATATTAATATAACAGTTTTTAATATAATAAATTATGCGAACGAGTGTAATATTGGATAATATTGTATAAATAATTTGTTCCGATATTATGTGACGATTTTCGTGACAACCAATAGCGCCAGGGTAGCGGCGATGGTCACGGTGCTGGGTGCATTTGGCGCCGGTCCGGCACCAGTCTGGGCCAGGCCCTGTTGGTTGGGCTCGTCGATCACATTGCTCATATAACTGGTGGTGTCCGGTTTCTTGGTGGGTGACTGAGCRGACGGGGAGACGCCACCACCTCCACCAATGCCGCCGACACCCGCGGCCGATACCTGCCACGTCGGCGTGCTGAACGACGCGGCTTGTACGGTGTGCCCACGGCTCGTCCTTTCGCCATTTGCGGCCGCTGTTGACGGTCCGCCCGACCAGCTTCCGGTGTTTTGATCTGGTCTCCAATCGTCTTGTCGTTTTGTCGCTGGGTGGCCGAACATAAAAACAAAAACAAGAGAACGTCAATACATCCTTAATTGTCGTATARTTGCGCGTTCAGGACTTTGAATTTTACGTATTAAAAAACCTCACATTAAACATTATAAGTACGTTAAAATATCTTAAATATAATATGCATTTTATGTATATAGGTACCAGCCTACTTTTAATAATCATAGTTTATATGGATATTTTAGAATTTGTCTATAGTGTAAAATAATTTAAATTGAAGTTATCATATTAATTTAATATGACATGCCTACTAAAAAACGTGAAGAAGATATTTATAAAATTAAAAAATAACTCAAAACTTATGAGCCATAAGGTTCATTAAAAAAAGGCCTAATAATTATAATGATGACAACATATTTCAAAACAAAACTGCTGAAATTAAATTWATTAATATCTTATTTTAAAATATTTGTGTTAAAGAAGCTACGTTTTGCAGTATTTCAAACATAATGCATTTTTCACCAAATTCACAATCTTAATCATAATAATAACAATACGATGATGAATATTAAATAATAAATGATATATTATATTGACGATGGTAATTATTGTATATATTGTTCAAAATGCGACAGTTAAAATAATATGAAAAATATCATGATAGTATTAGACATCTACCCATATATATAATATAATATAACGGCACAAAGGCCTTTACATTTTAAAGGGGACTATGAGAGCKTAAGTCTCACATAAATTTTTCTTACACTAATGAGCTTATTTTTCTTGARTTGACTATCATTATGAAAAATTCTCGGGATTTATAACTTTTTGACACCCTTCAAAGTACCAACTACAGATAATAGATCAATTTGTTACCAGAAGCCACTCACATAGTTTAAAATAGATGCATTTTTATAGTGCGTTGACGTCAGATTCACATACACACACACACACACACACTAAACATCATTGTAAATATATCAATACATTCACAATCGCTCCATTCAGAATCTAAAATGAAATATACTATATTATACTATACTAAATATACTATATTTCATTTTATTATCAATATTTTATATGAAATATTGAAATATGAAATATCGTATAATATATAATTATATTGGTATATCAAAATAATTAAACAAAATATACATTTAA